TCCTCTCCCAGACCCAACGAACCTCGCTTACTTCCTTGTTCGCTCACCTAGAAGATGGTTGGCTATTCAGACTGGGAACAGTTCATAGGCATCTCAGGGAAGTCTGACCTTGTCGGTGCATCTTTTGCACGATTGAATTCACTATGCAGTTTAGATAAGTAGAGGGTTCCACACACACACACACACACACACACACACACACATCAGGAGTGTTATGACTGAGTGACTAGAGATATTCCCAGGGAGTCAGGACTATCTATGTATTTGGTCACACTGAAAATGCCAAACAAGTGGAGATTATTGCCAAGTAAATGAGCAAGGGATTATTGGTGATTATAGCCAAGGTACTATTGCCAACCCTTCTTTCAAACTTTTTTTTTCTTTCTATTTTGTCAGTTGTGGGGCTTGCGCATTCCCTGAGCTCTTTTGCTCAAGGCTACTGTTCTACCACATTGAGACACAGCTCCACTTCCCATTTTCTAGTGCTCAACCGGAGCAAAGAGTCTCACAAATTTTTCTGCCCAAGTTTTGTACCACGGTCTTCAGCTCTCAGCCTCCTGAGTAGCTAGGATTACAGGTGTGAGCGACTAGGCTCGGGGTTTCTTGACATTAGTTAAAAAGATAAAAACCCACCAAACTGAACTATTGCAATTAAAAAATTGCCCTGGGCAGTTGCCTGTGTGCAGTTGCAATAGAGTTTGGGGTTGTATTAAGAAGCAGAAACTTGTGGTTCTAATCCTAGGTCTATAACTTCATTGGGCAAGGCCTCCAGTCCCACCCCTCTGTGCTTCCATTTCCTTATTTATAAGCAGGTCATGTTGCCTTTTCTAGTTCTTAAGATTGTTATGAGGGGCTGGGAAGGTGGCTCAGTGGTAGAGTGCTTGCTTTGCATGCATGAGGCCCTGGGTTCGATTCCTCAGTACCACATAAGCAGAAAAAGCTGGAAGTAGTGCTGTGGCTCAAGTGGTAGAGGCCTAGCCTTGAGCTGAAGAGCTGAGGGACAGCGCCCAGGCCCAGAGTTCAGGTCTCACGACCAGCCCACCCCCCCAAAAAAAAAGATTGTTATGAATGTCACATAAAATGATAGCTTTGGGGTTTCAAAAGCTGCAGAAGAGACGTGAACCAAAGATAATGGGCTGCTGAGCACTGGCACTGTACCTCTGTAACTCATTGTGCATAGAAGGCCAAATTTTTCTCTCCGTTTTCATCTGTTCCAGATCCACAATATCTGTTGCTTGCTTAGAAACCCACTTGTGATTCAGACTCAGGAATTCAAGAAGCAATTCATTTTTCTACTTGTTTATATCCCAGCTTCTCCATTTTGGCCAGTGATGTGTCTGTTCTTCCATTTTCCCTACTTAGGAATGTTAGAACCATACCTGTCACGGAAATGCTTTTCTTACTGGAAATCTTATCATATTCCAAGTGATCTTAGTTTTATTTGCTTTTTTTCTGTGTTCTTCCCTTTTCTTCCCTCTCTCCTTCCTCTTTCTCTGGTGTCTTCTCCTTCCTTTCTCTCTTTTCCTTTCTCCTTCTACCCCTCCCTCTTTTTTCTTTCCCTTTCTTTTTCTTGAATCCATCCCTCATTATTCTATTCCCACTTGTACTCTTCTACTTTAGATCTTAATTCCTCTTCATCCCAATTTTGTAAGTGCACCCTTGCCCTCCAGTCTGTTGTGTTGACTGTTGAAGACATATTTATTTTCCTAACGTGCAGCTGTGATTATTGTCTACCCTAAAGAACTGCAAAAGAAACAAATGAAATGGCTCCCTTTATACCTTTATGATGTCGAATCCAAATTTGTTAGAATCTGTGTCGCTTAATGACTTTAGTTAGCGCATAGTTAAATTTTATTTGATGAGTATTTCAAAACCCACTACGTGCCAATTGTACTGCTTAGTGTTTTAGATACAAAGACAAATACAATATATTGCTTAACTTTAAGCCTGTGAGTGGACCAGTCCTATGTTGGTGGTAGTAGGGGTGGTACCCTAAAGTTATGTGAGATATTTTTTGCATAAAAGATATTGTTTCCCTTAGGGAATGAGCTTAGTTTTTGTTTGATTATCAGGAAAACCTATGATAAAAATATTAAAGAACTGTTAGGTTAAATGCCTCATACCTCAATCCTGGCATCTTCCAGGATTTTTAAGTGAAGCCATTTACAGCCTCTGCTGAAGGACCTATTGGCTAAGGCTTTTGTTTTATTTTTTAGGCTCGTAATTCATTTATTGACATTCAGAGTTCAAACATTAAAACACCATTCCCTAGTAAGAGGAATTAATTAATAAAATTTATTACAACAAATTAAGTGCCCATACACCCAGTATGTGATGCTTCATTGAAACACAGATTATACACTCACAGAAGCCTATCAATTACACCTAATTAAGCTTATTAATTACTCTGGGACCTTAGAACTCAACACCCCCAGTTTCACATTATGAACTGCAGGTTTGAGATACATTTATAATCTTTGAAAAAGGATTATCTTTCAGTGTTTACTGATGACTGAAAAAATCGATTTATTATCCCACAACACATATTATTGAAGACTAAAAACTCTTCCTACTATATACTATCCTACTATTCCTACTATATACTATTATATATAACCTATACTACTATTCCAAACTATTCCCACTGCATCCATACTTCACTGGCAAGGCTAGGTTTTCTCCTTCATGAAACACTGCTCATAGGCATCCAAATGGCTAAGTTTGGATGAGGTGGCAGGAATAAAGCCATGAAAAGAGATAAGTCAAATAATCATAAATTGTTTAGAATTAGTTGAGGGATCACATAGGGCTGTGGTGGCCACTCTCCAGGGTAAAGTGAGAAAGGAGTTCATTACTATGTAATCAATCAAAGGAGGGAGAGAGAGTTCAGGAAAGACAAAGAGATTAAGCAAAGGGGATAAACAATGAGTCAAGCTGAAGGGGTAGCACAAGCAAGGAGGTACGGGTGAGTAAGTGCTGGTAAATTGATAGCAAGAGAAAAATGAGGTATAGATGAGTGAAAGGGCTATTCGGGAAGTAAAGGTGAGAATTCCCATAGTTCAGGAATTCCCATAGTTCTTACGTGCAATATGATCTGTGTTAGAAGATTGGGTTTCTAAATGGGCATGAAAGAATGTAAGAAATGTAAGGACAGAGTTGTGACCAAGGTACAATGACAATGCTAGGAAAGAAATGAGGGGTTAACTCTAGGAGAGCAGAGAAAGTGTCATGTGAGGCTTGAGATGGGTATTGAAGGATGGCTAATAAATCACCAGGTGGACAGGAGCCATAGTAAAGCCAAGGGAAGAACAGTGCAGTGTATATACCATGCCTCAGATCTGGATCTAGATCTATATCACTCTCTTTATGTTAATATATCTACATATATGTATAAAACATGTTCACACATATATATGAAGAAGGAGAGTAGAGTGGCAGAGAGGATCTGGGACTGAGAGATTTTAAAAGTATACAGGAGAAGCTCAGCACATTTACCGTCTGCAGAGAAATTATTAAGATGAGAAGTCAAATGCAAGGCATTAAAGGATATAAAGGATAAATGATCATAGTGGCTGAATCACTTTTCCTCCACAGAGAGACAGAGCAGGAGAGACAAGACTGTATAGATCTGGAAGGGCTGCTGAAAAGTGTTCTTCTTCACACTTCTGCTGGGGTCAGGAACTGTGAGCACCCGCCCTGAGTAGGGCAGAGGGGGCAGAGGTGGCAGAGGCATTGAGCAGGAACCTGCTGAGGATATGTTGTCTTAGAGGCAAAGGGAAGGGGAGCTGACCCAGAATGGCTGAGTGTTGTAAATACTTAGGAAGCTGTAATTTTGTAGTCTTCGTGACTATGTATGTGGTTATATGGATTTTTTTCTAGGTAGGTTTACAAGTCTAGTCATCATATCAAAGAAATAAGCTAAAGGCTAGGGGTATAAAGAAGGGTGTAAACAAAGGATGAGGGGGGGGGTGAAGAAATACAGTGGGTGAATGAGAAGGGAGTTCATCTTAGAGGCATGGAGGGCAGGACATAGAAGGAAGGAACAGGACCTGAAATGTGAGGTGAGTAGGCAGGAAGTCTTCATCAAATCAAAGAAAGTGGAATACGGGATGGATGGAGAGAGTTGACTTTAGTGTAGTGTAATTTTTCAGTGTGTTTATTATCTTGTAGGTCTATCCTTTATAAATACTACTAAATCCCAAGTATTGCCATTGGGATTAAGCTGACTCAGGTTAAGTGGTGGACATAGAAGAGATTATGCAGCTGTGACGGCTGGGCAATGGGCAGCTCATCCAAACAGGTGTTGAACTGTGAATGTCAGAAGGGACCTGGTACGTGACACTGATAGGCAGGTACAAAGGGTGTCAAAACCTCACATCTCATTTTCTTTCATGTCCTTTTTCTTTAATCAAATGGTACCACTGATTATCACAGAAGAACTCTGTACTTTTCTTATCTCTGCTATTGCTCAAGTTTTCTCTTTTGGAGTCTTTAATTTCAGTTCCCTCTGATGAAATTCAGTGGCTTCTTCAGTGAAGCTTATCCTTTATGAAGCGTTGCTCATCTTCCCCTCTCCTTTGTACTACCAGTCTATTTTGAAAACAAACTTTTGGGGAAGCATTTAGAATATGTTTTTTCATAAGTTTACAGGGTTTGATGTTTTATCTCTCTAGTTAGCAAGTGAGTTCCTTGACATTATGGATCTGTCTTGCTCACCTTTGTGTTATTTATAGCAGTGTGCACATAGGAAAATCCAGCGGATGTTTATGGGATTGAATGAAACAGCAAGCTTTCAGAGTGGGGTTGATTTTGGAGATGGTGTCCAGCAGACTTTTCTGTCAGG